GGAATCATAATCCACAAGGCTTGTCCACAGGGCCTTGTTCTTGCCAGGCAGGCACTCTAACACTTCAGACATCCTCTAAGTTCTCATTTCCTTTAATGGAAATGTGTTTCCACTGTGTGTTTCTAGCTTGTGAATTTGGATAACTTGTGTCTTTTAAGAAATTGTTCCATTTTACCTAGCCTATCAAATGTGTGGATATAAAGTTTTTCATAGTATTCCTGTGTTCATCTTTTAATGTTCATGGAATAAGTAGTAACAACATTTTTTCATTGCTGTTATTATTACTTTTTAGCCTTTGTCCCTTATTTTCCCATAACTGCCTATATGCTTCAGTATTTTATGGATTGTTTGGTTTCACTTGTGTTTGAATTTCCATGGAGGGTGACCACATTGAAGTAGGTCATCTATCTGTTCTCACAGATTTCCTTTTTTGTTTTTTTCTGTTTTATTTTTTTGCAGTACTGGGGTTTGAACTCAGGGTCTTGTGCTTGCTAGGCAGGCACTCTAACACTAGAGCCATTCCCCAGTTCTTGTACTTGTGTTTGAACTCAGAGCCTTCTTTCTGCTAGGCAGGTGCTCTGCCATTTGAACCATGCCCCCAACCCATTTTTGTCTAGGTGTTTTTCAGATAAGGTTCTCATGGTTTTTGCTGGTCTGGTCTGAGACTGTGATCCTCCTACCTACAGCCTTGAAAGTAGCTGGATCGTGCCACCACCCCCAGCTTGCCCATCCTTATCAGTGCCTTCAATAATAACTCTCATCATGGTCCAGTTTCATTCACCTCAACATGGTAGTATGTGTAGTTCCATTAATGTGGTGGGTGTTGCTTGTGTGGTTGTCACTGGACTTCTGCTGTTGCCCCATATCCATGAGAACATGTTTTTAGCAAATAGAAGGGAAAAGCATCCTAGGCTTCTCCGTGAAGTGCAGACTCATCATGCAAAATTGAGGTATATGTTCTCCTTCCTTGCTTCATTTACACTGAAGTGTAAGTCAATTCCTTGAATTGATTTTTATTTACATTTAATTGGTTCTTCATATCAGATCATAAGCTCCTTGAAGAAGCAAAATTTTATTCTGTTTTTTTTTTAAATGAAGTTGAACTTCTAATGTAGTCCAAGTTGGCCTTTAACCCACAGTGCTCCTGTCTCATTCTCTTCAATGCTGGGATTACAGCCATGTACCACCACTCCTGTTTTTACTTATACTTTACTCCCTAGGGATAAATATGTTTTTAGATGTGTGAGGTAAACTTTGTTATAATATTTTTAATGCTATTTAATACTTAATAAGTTATTACAATGGCAGTACATTTCTGGGACTTTCCTTTATCATATAGAGTAAAAAACAAGCTGAATTTTTTCAAGATACACATAAGAATCCTTCCCCCACCCCATCCCCACATATAGAAGCCAGAACTTCCATATTTCAAGGGCTGGTGAGTTGAGAAGAAATACGGCATTCTAGGAGTCTGTCATTTGAGAACGTGGCTGTGGACTTTACCTGGAGGAGTGGTGGGACCTGTATGATGCTCATATGAGGAAGGTGATGCTGGAGATCTACAATAGTCTCAGGTCCCTGGTGAGTGATACTGTCCTGTAACCCTCAGGAGCTGCCTTGAGGAGCAAGAGTTGTCTTCTTAGTAAATATATGAAATCTATTTAGGTGCACAGTTCCAGCCCTTGAAGAACTCATTTGTTCACCCTATGTCATGAAAAGTTCACATGTGCCCTTCATTGAACAGTTCCAAAGCTGAGGTTTGTTTGCTTCAAAAAACCTGATTTATAATGGAGGGGATAAACCAATTCAGGATATAATACATACATGTATTTAAGGAAATGTCACAAGGAAACTCCCTGAATAAACATCATAAAGAAAGAAAAAAAAATTTTTTTAAATTGAAGGACAGGAAGGAAAAATAAATCCAGAGGTTGGTATGGAATAAGGAAGGAAAGTCTGAAGGATGGTTTAAGTATTATGTATTAATGAATGAAAATGTATCAATGAGGTCTATTGAAACTATTCTAAGAATGGGGTGAGGGAGGATAATGGAGAATGATGGAGGGCGAATCTAACAAATATATTCTAAGGACTTTGTAATGTCACAATGTATCCCTGGTTCAAGTATAACATGCTAATACATCAATAAAAGAAATGAGTAAAAGAAATTAAATGAAATTTTCAATGTAGCTCCTCAGTGTGAGTAGTCCTGTTTCAAGTATTTGCTAATTACTGTGGCTAGCATCTCTTGATGGCAGCACAGGTACAGAACATGTCCATCATTGCAGAACAGGATAGTGGGGGGGAAATTCTGAATTAATCATTTGACAAAATCCTATGTTGTTTCCCATGAGCAGGAAAAGGCATCAGCAAACCTGAGCTGATCTTCAAGTTCTAGCAAGGAACAGAGCCTTGGATGAGAGAACCACCAAACCAGGGACCACCAGGTCAGTCACTGCACACTGGGCGGGGGGGCCATGAAGAGGGGAGCCCAGCAGATGTTGGCTGTCTTGCACTGATTTCATCAGGTTATCTTCCAGATCGCAGACCTGAGGACCAAGGGCTCGCACACATCACACCTATGCACTACAGTCTCCAAGAAGGGCTCTCATACATATATTGTTACCTTTACCTCAAACATAAACCCTGTTCTTCTTAGATATTTTTATTTGCTATTTATTTTCTGTGTTCTCAGTTTCCTCAACCTCCATTCTCAAGGGCTTTTTAAAATTTATTTTAATTATATATTTTTTTTGTTGGACGGGTTTGATTCAGGGTTTTGAGTTTCAAAAGCAGGCAGGCACTTACAAAGCAGGTGCTCTATCAATTGAGCCATACCTCCAGAACATTTTTCTGGGGTTATTTTGGAGGTGGAATCCTGTGAACTATTTGTCTGGGGCTGGCTTCAAACCAATATCTTCCTGATCTCATCCTCCTACTTAGCTATAATTACAGGTGTGAGCCTCTGACACTTGGTTTATAAATATTTTTGAGAGAGACTCCTGATAGGTACCCTGGCTGGCCTTGAAATATCTATCTTCTTGTTTCTGTCTCCTTAGTGATGGTGCCTGCCATCATTCTTGGCTTCTCATGAACTTGTATTGTCTGAAATTTATTCAAAAATTATTTGTGTTTCAGCACATCCTACTGGAGCTGATTTTGAAGCACTGACAATTTTATAGTTGTATTGATGACATAAAACATCAAAATAATGTCTCATTGAATTTATGTGTGTTGAGAGAAAAACAAGAAAATAATGTATTTTAAGTAGTCAAATAAGAACCATGAGCAATATTTAATCAACATGAGGAAAAGAAACTTGATATGTGATCATTTAGGAAGGATAGCCAGAAAAGACAGGCTAGAGTGGAGTTTATTTGAATTTGCTGTGCTGGAGATTGAACCCAGGGCCTCAAATGTGCTGTTCAAGTATTGTACCACTGGGTTACATTCATAGTGGGATTATTAAGTGTTTACCTCGGCATACCTTGAGGTTCAGTCCCTGTTTGCAAAATTTTACACATATCATGTGAATATGAAGATCAGCATTTGAGAGTCTGCATCACTCTTGGAAGCACAAAATTGGAAATTGGTAGTTTGAAGCTGGTATTTAAACTTACAGAGCAGTTGCCCTGCAGAGTTAATAAGAAAAGAGTTAGCCTTGTGAATCATGATATCAGACACCATTAAAATAGAGGATGCAGCATATAGGTCTGCACTTGGGGAAGAGCCAGGACTTTCCTGGTCCCAAGCCCAAGTGAATGAAGGCTTTCAGGTTAAGAGCACATATCTCTGCTTGGGAGTGAACTTTGAAGTTGGCATATCCATTTTCTCTTAGTGGATATCATTATAAACAAGAAAAACCAGGAGAAATGTTCAGGAGACTCCATTTCCTTTGAAAGTAGGGAAAACGTGACAGTACAGTGCACAAGATAACATCATTCAGGAGAAGTTGATTTTCAAGCATGGGTGTCTGTACCAGAAGTTGGGGGGGGGGCAGAATGCTTGGGCTTTTGATCTCAGAAGGAGTCAGAAAAGCACTTTAAAAAGATGGTGGGTATCAAAGGTGGGTGTCCAGGGTGATAGGGTGAAGAAAAAAAACATATGTTTCTGAGAAACAGTCAGTGAAGTTAAATTAGGTCTTTATAGGAATCTGTTGTACCTAGAATGGAAAAGAAGACATTTTATATTTGAAAAACTCCCTAGATGCGTATAGTTATTCTCAGGAAAGAATGAAAGCTAAACAAATGTAGATGCAAAACTCTGTCTCACATGGCAGTCCGTCGAATTTGACTTGTATTATGTAAGTTGCTGGTCCTGAAAATTCTTGCACCATTCAAAGTAGAATAATGAGAACAGCAGCAGGAGACCCTGCTGAGAGTAAAAGAAGGAGGGAAAGAAATGGCAGGGGGGAAGCCCTTTATGGAAAACCATGACTAGACTGTAGATGAGTATTTTAACCAAATAACTCCTCATAGAAATAAAAAGAAAGAAGCAAGGAAAAACAGTTCAACAATGTAAAATCTATTACTATTTATTACTTGAAGACAGTAAGAAGAAAATTATTTACTTACAAGCCAATGCCTATTGTGGTTTTTATGAAATCTTATGCCAATAGGAGGGGAAGAACCTCCTTTATATACACATGCACATTTCATAGAAATTCCTAGATGTATTTCATGTATATGATTTTTTTTTCTCATTTTAGATGAACAGAAAGTGGATGTCATAATTGAGATCAGTGAGGAAAGTCAGGACAGACACTTGTGGCAACCTGGAATCAGTACAGACAATACACCAACTAAGAAGAAAGTTTTATCAGGACATGCCTTTCATTTGAGTTCCAACCATTTTTCAAATTTCATTCTAAAGAATGCAATGCACTTTAAAAAAGTGAAGTCCAAGAAGTTGAATGTTTGTTAGTACATGTGTCTCCCTAGTAGGCCTGAGAGGATGTATGCTGGTGAGAAACTCTAGAAGTGTAATCAGTATGGGAAATTCTTTGTCCAGAAATCACAATTCACCAAGCATGAGAGAATTCACACTGAAGAAAAGCACTATCAGTGTAGTCAGTGTGGAAAATCCTTTAACCAGAAGTCAACCCTCAATAGACATGAGATAATTCACACAGGGGAGACCCATATCATTGTAATCAGTGTGGAAAAACCTTTGGCTGGAAGTCATACCTCTCCATGCATGAGAAAATTCACACTGGGAAGAAGCCCTATCAGTGTAATACATGTGGAAAAACCTTTGAATGGAAATCACACCTCACTATTCATGATGTAATTCACACTGGGGTGAAGCCCTACAAGTGTAACAAATGTGGAAAAACCTTTTGCCAGAAGTCAGAACTCATGCAGCATGGGAGAATTCACATTAGGAAGAAGCACTATTCATGTAATCAATGTCAAAAAACCTTTGGTTTGAAGTCATACCTAATGAAACATGAGAGAATTCACACTGGGGAGAAGCCCTATCAGTGTAATCAATGTGAAAAAACCTTTGGCCATATGCCACACCTAAATAGGCATACTGACAAGAGAGGAGACTTTTGAAGGTAGAAGAGCTTTCTCAGACATCAAACCTCAGGAAACATCAGAGAATTTACATGGTGGGAAAATCCTGAATGGCAGAGACTAACTATGTGTCCTCCACAACCCATTTGCTTTTCTCGGTGATATGGCAAGCTCTTCTCTGCCTCTACTTCCTGTGGCCAACAGCTCACAGCTCTCTGTGGAGATATGGACATGTAGTGAACATTCCTTCCAGTCCTGACATGTAACAATGGCCTTGCAGTCCTCCCAGACTTGGGATGGGCATCATAGCTGTCTTTAATCACTGTGACTTAAGACAGAAATGAAGAGAACTGAGGATGTACCACCACTGGCCCAGAGCCCTCCACTTGTTACACGTGAGGAATAAACACATTAAGCCATTTTATATGTGGTCTGTGCATCAGCATAGACAACCACAGTTTCTTACATGCTTTATGAATATGGGAGGTGTTCCTGAGAGACTTGACCAGTTCAAGTTTATCATAAAATTCATACAGAAAAGAAACCTGTATGGTCATCTTTCAACTCCAAGTCAGGTTTGGGAGCTGGAAGCATTGGCTCATGCCTGTAATCCCAGCAATTTGGGAGATGGCAGTTGGAGGATTGTAGTTGAGGCCGTCCTTGGCAAAGAGTTAGCAAGACCCCATCTAAACTAATAAGCCAGGTGTTGCCACAGGTGTACCCAGCTGTATGTCTAGTTCTGTGACTGGCATCAGTAGAAGAATTGTGTTCCAGGCCTCACTGGGCAAAAGTTGAGACCATATGGGACAAATATCTTTGAAAAGAAAAAGGCTTGGGATATGCAAGTGGTAAGTGTCAACCTATCAAGCTTGAGGTCCTGAGTTCATAAAAATTCTATCTATAGCGCCCACTGATTTGAGATTTATCTCCTTCCTGTTTTAGAGGATTATTTGTGGTGGCTATTACTTCCCAGATCCAAACAATTAATGCATTCAACTCTATGACAGAAAGTGAATCAATGGATGTGGCATTTTGTGAATGATCTTTTAAATAAAAGAGAACATTGCCTAATGTGCAACTTTTTTCTGTCATTCTTTTTGTATCTTGATAGTCAAAGTGCTTCTCTGAATGCAGCTTATATAGCCCATGGTTTTCAAATCCATTCTGCCAGTCTCTGCCTTTTAACTGGACAGTTTAACCCATTTGTATTTATAGGAATTCCTGACAGGGAAGACCTAACTCCTGCCTTTTAGCTATTCTCTATATGTCTTTTTTTCTTATAGGATAGGGGTTTGAACTCAGGGCTCTGTGTGTGTGTGTGTGCAAAGCTACATCACAGCCCTTTCAGTTGAGTGTTTGTACTGTGCCATTTTGATTCCCTTTCTCTTTCCAGTTCAGTCACCTTTCAGATATTTTTTCTTTATTGATTGTCTTTGTGATTATAATGAATATCTTAAACTCAGAGCGAGCTAGTTGGAATAATATCCATTTAGTTTCAGTGGAATGAAAATACTCTGCTCTTACACAGCTCCATTCCTTCACTTTACATCATTGTCACAGATTATAAAGGGGGAATGGGTGGAGCACAGTGGTCCTGACAGCAGCTGAATCACAAGAGGCCAAGTGAGGGACAGCCATGGAGCATCTAGATGGACCATGCTGTGGCCTGGCCCAGAGGGTAGAGACCACACTGAAAACTAAAGTGAGATGCCTATTTCCAAACCTTTAACACCCTCCCTGTCCTTTCCTTTACTTATAATATTCATGCTGTGGGAGATCATATTCCAAGGTTAGAAACGCAGTGGGCATTTGGGCTGGGTTTCTCCACCTCACCCATTTCTCTCTTCCACCTCTCCCCCAATTGGTGATTTTAAAGAAAAAAATGGGAAGCACACCTCACTCAGTCCATCAGCCATAGGCTTTTCATTTTTTAAAAAATATGAAAAAACTGTCTCAAGACAGGCTGATGACTTCTGCCTGCCCTGGAATAATAAGAGCCTCTGTATGGCTGCTTAGGAAAGTGGGGAAGGGAGCAGCGCAAACAGGGAGCAAACTCACTACTAACTGTGGATTGGGGGACTTGCTTGCCATAGCATTCATTCTCCCTGTTGGGTGGGCAGAGATCCTCCTGAAATTTAACTTTGCCCTGAAATGCATTATGCCCCCTGCCATACTTCCAAGTAGAGAAAAACTGCTGTGGTCTAATCAGGTTAAGGTGGGCTCCTTGGCCAAGAGTTTCATTTTTCCCACTGTGATGTCATCTTGATCTCATTATGCTTTGACATTTTCCCCCCAGTGGGTTTTTCATAGTCATGTATAGAGTGATTCTTGAGACATGTCCTAATGCCTTCTCAACTTTCATGTCAATCACTCCTTGTGGGCTGGGTCCTGAAGAGGGACTTGACACTCCAGACCCCTTAAACTTCAGTAAAAGCCTGCACAGGAGCCAGGCTCTGGGGCTTACCCCTGCAATCCCAGCTTTTGGTTGGATGAGATTGGATCACAGTTCTAGGCAAGTCCAGGCAAATACTTCACACAACCTCATCTCCAAAATAGCCAGCAGAAAACAGAAAATGGACTGGAGGTGTGGCTTTAACAGTAGAGTTCCTGCTTTGTAAGCACAAAGCCTGAGCTCAAACACCAGCCCCACAAAAAAACAAATAGTACAGTACAAAAATTTGTGTTTTTTTGCTTCAAGCCACTTCACACTTAGGCCCAAGGAAGCCTCACAGGATCCCCAAACTGGTCTAGACCTTTCCAAGCCATCACTTCTTCCATTTCAGTAGGAACATTCCGTGGTCCCAATACCCTTTACCTTCCCTTTGTTTACATGATGCTTTGTTACAAAAAGGGTTTCAGCTGAATACTTGATGGGGAAAGAGGTTCAGATGGATGCATTTGCATGAATGAAATAACTCAAAAATGATAGTTTTTATACATTAGTAGGAACAGTCCCATTGTTATAAGCCACCAGTGGGAGTTTTTTTCTTTTTCTTTTTGTGGTACTGTGATTTCAGTTTAGGGCCTACACCTTGAGCTACTCCACAAACAATTTCCTGTATATGGTTTTTTTGAGGTAGGGTCTCACAAACTGTTTGCTACTGTTGGCTACTGTGGTCCCCCTGATCTCTGCCTCCTGCATACCTAGGATGACAGGCATGAGCCACAGGCACCTACGACCAATGGGAATTTTTTAATGTGGGAATTTTTTTCCTATAGTTTCAGCTTGTTGGTGTTTTCATGAACTCTGCTTCCCCATCCATCCTGCTAAGGAGACAGTATTCTGCAGCTTTACAGATAGAAGATGGAGGGCTCCAGGCTTAGTATAGTTATAGAACTAGCCACAGGGAGCAGGCCCCCTTGTTCAGAGCAAGTGCTCTTCGCGCATCTGGGATTCTGCTGTACCACTTTGTGGGGGGATGGTTCAGAGCCATGTTAGGATAGGGGAACATCCTGTGTTTCTGTGGCTTGGTGCAGGCTCTTAGGAACTGCCTGGGTATGGAGCAACCACACAGCAGTGAGTGACTGCACATGAATGCCACATTGCACACCTACTGGGCCCTGTGCAGAGCTGGGTACTGCTGACCCCCTTGATCTCCAAATGACAACTAGGAGCCAGATGTTGCTTTGTGCTCTCAGAGCAGCATTCTAGAGCCTGTCAGAATCCAAGGGCCCCACCTCTGTGGTTAGGAGTCAGGCACCCAGGTTTTTATAATTCCCCTTAGCTGGTTCCAGTTTGCAGTGGGGTTGAAAACTAGTGTCTTGGAGACATGCCTCAAATGTTAGTGCATACCTACCTAGGGAGTGCAAAGTCCTGAGTTCAAGTTCTACTACCTCCAACAACAAAAAAACTGGAAACTAGTATCTTTAACTCAATTTATTTGTGGGGATCCAAAACCCTATCTGTAGAGACCCCTTTGCAGAACATGTAGCTGTAGTCCAGGCCCCCCACTCTTTGACCTCCAGGCTGAGGAGGGGCTTGGTGGTGATCATGAAATAAAGATGGTCTGCAAACTGGATCCAGTGCAGCCACCACAGTCTCACCAGTGTTCACAGAATGGGGAAGAGAGTGACTGGGTTTTTCTTGGCTGTTATTACTGTTGTGTGTGGGGGGTGGGATTTTTTTCTGCAGTACAGGGACTTGTGCTTTCTAAGCAAGTGTTTAACTACTTGAGCCACAGCAACAGCCTTGAGAAGTGACTCTATATAAGAAGGACCCTCTTAGCTGGGCTTAGTGGCTCAAGCATGTAATCCCAGATATTCAGGAGGTGGAGATCTGGAGGATCACAGTTCAAGACTAGCTTTCGCAAAAACTTCCCAAGAATTTATCCTAACCAATGAAAGCTGGATGTGGTGGGATACACCTGTCATCCCAACTATGAGAGAAATGTAAATAGAAGGATCTTTTTGATCCTCCCATTGTTTAGATGAACAAAAAAAATCCATATTAGAACTGGACCCCCTCTCCCTCAAAGGTAACCTATAGAAAACTCTCCACCCAGCCCTAAAGACAAACACATCTACCTTAAGCCATTTACTAGAAACTCCCCACTTGGCCTAAAAGGAATGACCCACTCTTAAGTCATTATCTTGGGAGGAACTGAGGGCCATTGAACATTATCCCACTCAGTGACCTTCCTGGGTCTTCTCAGCCCACCTATGAATACCACCATCTGTAAGGAGCTGTGGGCTTCAACTCTCTTGCTAGGTATCTCCTCCTCATGAGCGCTTCTCCTTAATAAACCCTGTGCTGGCATTTGAGCCATCCACTCACTTATCCATTCCACACCCCTTTCATTTCTAACATATATATGGTACAGAAACTTGTGATGGTCAAGTAAGTTAAACTCTCAGCTCTCCAGTTTGGTGACCTGGAAAGCAATAGACAAGAAGCTCTTTCCTGGCTCACCCCCAGATCCTGAGCAGACGCTAGAACATTCCCCATTCCCTGGAAAGATTTAATCAAAATTATTACCTTGTTTTCTGTTGATCTTGTCAAGCTTTTAAATACTTAAACTAAACCTTAAAAAATTAGAGTT